AGCACCCAGATTGGTTACAAGAACATCTGTTTAGAAATAAGATTTATAAATGACAGAGTCAAATAATTTTTTTTCATTCTTAGGGTATTTCTAAACTGTTTCTGTTATAAAAATACAGACTTACATTTTCTAAAATTTTTTTAAAAAGATACAGTCAGGTATCAAATGATTCAATGTTGCTAAACTTTGTTGTTTAGATACACATGTACATATAACAATACACATACATACACACGCAGAGAAACACATATACATGCAGAGAAACACATACATATATTAACACATAGGTTTTAAATTAAACACAATGATTTCAGAACATGTTACCTTTCTGTGTCTCATAAAATACAGTCTCCCACTCACTCCTTATGTAACACTATTCTGAGATGGCTTTTTGGCAATAACCCTATTGCCTCTATTTAGATAGGGATACATGAATCTCACACTTTTATTCTAAATTCAAGTTCACTCATCATACCTAATGCCCTTGAAGAAATCTCAAATTACTCTTATTACATGGGTCACTAGAAACCAGAAGCACTAATATAAATTTTAAACAGAGAGAAAAAAAGGAGGAAACATCTCATGCAATTAGATCCTGACTAACGGTTGGTTTAATCAATTTGATTTTATCCCCCAACTCAGTTTTTCCTCTTGAGCTGTCAGCAAGCGAGATAAGAGCCAGTGGTGTAGACGGCTGTCTTTCACCCGCCGAGATGACAGCCACATGGATTGCTAAAGCATGGCAGGGGATAGAGAGCAACACGGCCACTGCACCCTCATCCAGTGCACAATCTTTCTATTTCATTAATTTTTCATGGAATTTCATTTCACAACAAGCTGGCGTCTGCTATCCATCTGCTCCACTTACTATGTCCCCTTTGCCAACTTTTTATTTGCATTTCACAACATTCCCAGGCTGCTCTGCTCCTCACCACCTTGCTGAGATTCCCAATTTACTTTCATAGATCTGCCTTGTGGGGTTGCTTCCAAAATTCACTACCAGTCCCATAAAGATTTGCACCCTGAACCACTCTGCAACAATAGCTCAATTTCAAACCAAGTTTTATTGCTGTCAAATGCTCCAAAGAACGACACATTGTGTGCTAATGCTCAACTCAGTTGACCAGTCAAATGAGTGTTTGCATACACCTTAGATACTTCCCCCAAAGTCCTTTCCTAGTTGATGGAAGATGGATACACTTCAGTATGAACTATGTCCTTCAATTTACCTTGAATAGGTACCATGTCCCAATCTTTCCAAATAGGTCCATGTTAAAAGAGAATTTTTTAAATTCTCAGTTGTTTCACAAATTGTATGTAATAATGGGCTATATATTTAAATATTTTAGTTGAAAAATGAATTTTATTTCAAAGTTCAGGTTCTTTGGGGGAAGTACACTGACAACAACAAAGAAAAACAGACACATAACACAGAAAATATATACCATTTAAATAAATGAGAATGTCAAGGTGTACTTACGAGAGTCCTCAAATATATTATTCTGACATTCTATGGTTGGGAATTAAATTTTAAGTGACTTATTTTTATTACTGCACTTTATTTGAGGAGGTCTTTCTCTTAGACTACCTGAGTGATCTGCTGCTAACAACAACAGCAACGACGACGACAACAACAACAACAAAAAAAACCTTGAATCTTAACCTCTTTTTTTAGGTTAAAATGAATTCTTTTGAAATATTTGTGCAGTTATTTTCTAATGCAAGAGAATTATCTTTTATAAAGTGCACAGTAGATGAAATTGTTTACAAACACACTATAATTCTACCAAGAACTATAAAAATAAACTGCAGTCTTTTTGTTCTGTCTATGTACTATTGTAGGCAATACTATATGGATGGTTAATGATGACAGGTGGTAGCCTTCATAGCTACCTTTGCTACCATTGTTTTCCAAAAGTCTCTAATTGACATCAAAGGAGAATAAAATGCTATATTTTACACACCAAATGGGTTCAGGTCCTATTTTTATGCATGCACAAAAATCAAATTCTTAGCCTGTCCTTCTCAGTGTACTTTTATTTTGCTTTTTGCTGTCTCATATAAAAGTAAGATGCTCATATTTCCCATTTGTCTAGGCAGTGTAAACCACTTACAAATGATTTCTAAAGGAAATCCTAACTAATAAAATACCTACACACAACACCAACGGTGAACAACCTGAGGTTTTAATAAAATGAAAAGTGAGATTGTGGGGAGGGAGATCTAGTCAAGGAATTCTCTTTAAAGTTTATCTGGCAGAGAATGTGGACTTTGCTAGGTAACTCTGCGAGTACTATTCTGTGACTAAGGTTTTCTTGTGTTTTTGAATCTTTAAAGATATGTATTTCTTTCTACGTGGTATTGTTGCAGAAACATACACTATGAAAGAAAGGACACTGCTTCCAACATGATGGATTCCATTTATCAATAATCATATCCCATCACTACCACACTAGGCTGTAGTTAGTGTTTCAGTTCAAAACATAGACTGTTGGATCATAGAAAGCATACTGCACAGAAGACACCTTTCAAGGCTACACATACAAAATAGAGAACCTTTGACGCGCTGATCAGCTGAATGCTATGGGGCACTTTTAAAGAAAATGAAGCTTGACTAATAGGTGAGCCAGGGACATACATGCACACATACATTTATCATAATTTCATTTGTTAATTTGCAAGAATAGTTTAACATATTATTATTAACATGAATAACCTTCCTAGAATTTCTAAACTGTCTCCCATGCATGTGTGGTTTTTCATGTTAGACATGCTTAAAATTTGAAGCTATGCTATTCTATCTTGGTGAAGATACATGATTATTAAGATAAAATTTAAAGGCATAATTGCTCTTTATGGAGTAGAAGAAATGTGCATTTGTCAAATAAACTCATCTTTTTGACGGGAGATGTAAAATAATTATTTACTGGGTCCTGTAACTGAGTATGCTAGCCTTTATTTTGATCATGTATAGCTACAATATAAATTTTTACAGTAAAAGCAGATATTTAATGGTTCATCTGACTGTCCTACCACAATAGCTGTTGGCAGGTGCCACTGATACACAGGTCTACACACAATAGAAATGGACATATGATTTACCTATTGCCTTTGTTATGAAAATTTGCAGTTACTATCGTCAAAAGCACTAAGAGTAAAATATTTGCTTTAATTTTTATTACATTGGGTTGTCATGATTCAGCTTATAGTAAATGAAGACTCTCTCAGGTTTCTTTTTATTTCCTTCCAGAATAATTTTTAAGTTAGTATGCCTTATACTTCATCGTAAGGCAAATGAAGGAAGATAAGAATTTTTTTGGCTTACATTTCTATAGACTGTGTTACTATAAATATTATTTCAGTTGGTTTGTTCTAAATAGCTAAACAAATAATAAAAATATCAGGAAACACAAGCACCTGAAGTATAAAGACATTTTTCTTTACTTCTTTTAAAGTGACATTCATTGTTGAACTGTTGAAAGCCATGGTTTTCTTAATATTTATGTCATTTTTAGTAGCATGTAGCTTTAGAAGAAATCAGTAAGTCAATTTCAAAATATTTTCAGATAATGAAGTGAACACCAAATGCGTTTGCGCTGTCTGAGAATTGAAATACATTTATAAAATCAGCCCCTTTGTGAAATCAAAGGTTCTGAAACAATCAAAGGCAGATGTCAGGTCTCCTTTGCTCTCAGGGGTCTTATGTGTGATCATAATCAAGGACCGTTTGCTTCTGACATTTATGTTTGGTAAGTTTGTTATTAAAATCCTATTGGACTCAGGAACTGCTAGACAGCACTTAGGAAACAATCAAGCAGAAACTTATCTGAGGCTATGGATAGAGATTCTTGAAAGGTTAGAACAACCATCACCAGGTCTCACAATGTATTCTGCATAAAAACAATTAAAAAATTCCAACTCACTTAAGTTGTGTCTACTCTGCATACCTCTACAAACATTTTAAAAGCTAGAAGAAAACCAAAATGCCTTCCAGATACTGATAAAAACACTGAACATCCACAGACTCACCAACTGTAAAGTCTCTCTCTGAGAAAGAACGGACAGTTCTGGTATCTTTCAATCCTTCTGTGGAACACACACGGACTAAGATGCATCCTAGGGCACCACCTATCCCGGTGCAGGAATTGCTAATTTGATATTTGATACAAACCCTTTTGTGGAATCCCTGCACTTGTGGTGACATTGACTAAGTTCTGTACAGCCTATTTCCAAAACTATCAGTAACAAGACACAGCCCGAGTTCATCAATTGCAACCTGCCATCCGGTTGTCTCTCCCTTTCTGGCTTTCAAGATTTAATTTTCTTTCTTTCCTACCATCAAGACAGAGCTCTTATTTCTTTACTGGCAATAATTTCTGCAAGGACATACCTTGCCCTCTTTGTCTATGACAGTGTTAACATGACCACGAGATATCTCACTGAGTTAGAAAAATAAATAAATAAAAGCCAGTCAATTTAGGAAGGAGACTGCCAGAGTTTTGCCCTTTTTCCTCTGAGACAATTTGATTAAGAGAAGGTGGGGCAAGAGCTCATTCCCTTATTTTTATGTGTGTTGGCTTAAGTGAGTGTTTCTTTTGGCACACTGTGATAATGTCGGCTCCAAGAGTGTCTAAGGGCCAGCCAGCCTTGAGTATCCAGTAGGGACGGTGGTACCCAGAATATGAGCATCAGAGGATGGATGCTCCCCTGCTCAGCCCTCTCAGCTCCATTCCCAGTGTCAGTGTCTCCTGCCAAACATCTTCCGCGGAGCCGCTGGCTGGCTCTCTGTACCCTCCAGATTTGGGGAAAGACCCCTAGCTATTTACAAAAAGGTTTGAACTCACAAGTGCCCAACTCAGTGTGGACATCCCAGAAACATCCTGAAGTGAAGGCGAGGAGCAGAAACCTACAAGGGGCCAACGAGATCGCTGGAAGGACAAGGGGAGACAAGGGGCAGAGTTACAGCGGGATCTAGAGTGCACACACGGAGAGCTTCTTACCTTTCCTCTTGGACCTCCTCCTCCTTCTCCTCTTGGACTTGCATTTGAGTTGACTGCTTAGCCCTCCAGACCCTCTGCCGCTCCCTAGGACAGATGCCATGCCAGTCGGGAGACTTAGAGAGGATCCGGTCCTTAATCAATTTCGCCTTTCTTATTCTTGCTGCTGCGGTCGCGGCCGCGGTAGCGAATATTTCTGGCTATTCAAATCAAGTAGCAGTCTCACTTTTTTAGGACAGGATATGCCAGCAAGCACCTTCTCTCTAATTGCCCCGTCACTTGGCTCTGGATGAGCTGAAAGCCTTGGATGTGCGCTGGAAAGCTGAGCCCTTCCCTAGGCAGAAAGCTCGGGGAAAGATTCTCCCGCGCGTCCTGAGCGCCCTGGAGCTCTCTCCTCCTCTGGGCTCCCAAAGCAGGGCTGCTACTTTTGCGCCTCTGCGAGTTGTTTGGCACCATCCACTTTAAAGCCAATCACGCAGGGAGCTCGTCTATTTGCTGTCGCAAAGTCTAATTAGATCCAATCACAACTGTCTTCTGGCTCTGACATCAGCAGCACCAGCTCCACCGCCTCTGGTAGCTTGCAAACTCAGCTCCCATTTGGATGGATGGAGCCGCCCAGGACAGGCTGGAAGAAGACAGGCTTCGGAGGTAGCCAGAACCACACCATACTGGTTTTACTGGTAGAAGTCCAAAGGTGCGATGTGGTTTAGAGAAAGGTGACTATTCTGGGATGTCAAGGCTTCTCACTGGGACAACTTGATACGCTCAAAAGATGCAAGGACCAATTTCTCAAACCCAGCAGTTCTTAACTAGTTAGCTTACTAAGATCCCCATTGTCTGGAGCTGGAAGGAGCTCTTCCTGTTCAGGACCTCAGTCAGATTTGTAACTGCCAAACAGACAGGCTTTTTAGGAATTGTTTACTCAGAAATTGTGTATCTGTCTGTTTGCATGGTTGTTCTCTTGGGCTCTCACTCCACCTTCTTTTCATATCCCTAGGCTTTTCTTTTAGAAAAAGGAAAATGCATAAAAAACAAGTCCTAGGATTTTATCTTAATTTTATAGAGAGGGAATTCCCGTACTGTTTTATCCACTGGATAGAACAATTACAGAAGAGATAGGTTAGGAGTAAGGAGGGGAGTGAGGGAGGGTGGGAGAGACAGAGACACACACACACACACACACACAGAGAGAGAGAGAGAGAGAGAGAGAGAGAGAGAGAGAGAGAGAGAGAGAGAGAGAGAGAGAGAGAGAGAGAGAGAGAGAGAGAGAAATAAGGAGGTGGAAGTTATCCCATGGCAATTGTAGCATTTATATACAGAACAGAATATTGAGAAAGAAGTGGACTAAAAATTGCAATAATGATAAGAATTCTATTTTCAGGGCTATCCTAGGTTTCAAGAATTGATTTACAGAAAATTGAATTAAGACATAAGAAGGAATATAATCCAGGAAACATCATGGCTTCTTGTATTTAAGTCTCATAAATTGTTAGTCACCATAAGATTGGTTTGATTAACATTCAATCTAAAGTTTGGTAGGATGAGTTTATAGGAAGATGTGAGAATTATTTTCTGTTTGTTATTTACTGAGTTCCACATGTCCTTTTTCTTTTTTCTTTTATAAAGTTTTATTTAAATTAGAAACAATTTTATTTTACACACCAAAAATTTTTTGAGCTCCTTATGGAATTTGGTATTTCCAAAATATTTCTCTTGTATAAGGAATAATTCTCCCAAAGAACATTGGATGTAATTAGGATGTCCATGGATTGCTGCATTAGTGAACTGAATAATCTTCGCTCAGGTTTCACTGATGACAGAGACAGTAGAATTTCAAATCCTAACTCTATCGCTATGATTCACAGTCATTTACCTAGACAGTGACTCAGTTTCCCCATCTGTGAAACAAGATAGCAATCACAGCCCCTTCATGGGGCCAGTCATTCTTTCAAATCAGCATAGACAGTAACTAGTGGATAATAATCAGTCTGTGATTTTTAACTTTATCCAGTGGATAATTTCAAGAGACTCCTATAGATGGGCCTTTGAGATAGAGAACTTGTGCTATTTTTTCCTTTTAGACTATTTGACCTCCTGACTCTTTTCAAAGGGAAGACTGCAGGCAAACTTGCTTCTCTGGTTTGGCTTGGGATCAGCATCTCCCCTCTAGCAACATCATTCCATAGTGTTACTGATGATTTCTCCTGAGTGTTGAGAAAGGGCATGATATTCTCATGCAACCTACAACATAAGAAGCTCAGATTTTGTGGAAGTTCAGTGAGAATTCCTATCATATATAGACTTTCTGGTGTGCTTCAAGCAGAGCAGGCACTGTGGTGAATTATGATATATCAGATAAAAAACAAACAAACAAAAAACAAGTGCAACACAAACCACTTCTGCTCTTGGTGCAGAGACTGTTCAGTGATAAATAAACGTATCATGAAGTCAACATGGAGGGAAAAAGTACATTCATAATGATAATTAGCTGGTGTAATACAGTGCTTCTAAGATCAAAGGTGAAAACTATGGAATGTAATTGAGAAAACCTAAGTTGACTTTAGTTGTAGAAATTCTTTCCTTGGCATATCCGTGTCACAAGAGGATGAGGACAAGTGTCAGAAGGAGTACCATACTCTCAACCTTGCAAAGGCTGGAGAATTTCAACTGTAGTCATAGCATAGCTGTGCAACTTCACCTGTTAAACATGTGTGCTCAATGCAGAATGTCTGACTTAATCTAATGTTGTCCTACTTCTGTGCCTGCTGAAAAGCTGTCACCAAGGGAAGTTCTTTCAGATAAAGCTTTACACAGATGAGCCATTGCTACTTGATTATAAGAATTTATTAATGACTGTCTCATAGACCCATAACACATCAACATGATACCTCTGATACTCATACATACTGCATCTTACTTTACTAGGACAGTAAGTAAGGGAGGTATAGAAAAGAATATTGAACACACACACACACACACACACACACACACACACAATGTTTTGGTGAGAAAGAATAACATGGCAAAAATCTGAATGTAAACAGTTAAGATCTTGTTTTCAACATCAATTAGTTAAAATCTTGGCAAATATTTACTTTTCTTGAATTTTCTCAGTTCGTTTATTTTGTACATAATCTATGTAATATTACTATATAGAAATATTTCTTCTTGCTATATTTTGTTGTTTTTGTTTGTGATAATGCCTCATAGATGGTATACTTAGTCCTCTAGTGAGGATGAAATAAAAAATGGATGTCCCCATACCAGAAGCAGAAGTTGTTTATGCTGGGGAATATTTGCACACAAGCATGGTCTCTAGTATGTTTCAGTTTGCTATTGCCAGCAGGGCTTAAAGTGAGCAGTGTTGACAGCCTGCCACTCTTCTGATGAGTCCTTTTGCTTTTTGTCTTTCTCTGGATCACTTGAGCACAGCTTGGCAGCCTGAGATAATGAAGAGCAACTGGAAGAGGCTTTAGAACCAGGAGCCATTCTCAATCCACTGCCCATCAGGAGACATCACTGATGTGTCCTGTGTTAATTGTATTCAGTTGCTGTTCTTCCCACAGAACAGAGAACTAGCAAAGGGGCTTCCAAAGAGAAACTAGGCTTGTCAAAATGTCAACTAGAGCTTCATAGCTCTGCATTTACCTATAAGCTGTAGACCTGGGTTAAGAACAGAAAGATTTGGGGACCATGCTGTCTTTACAGTTTGTCCTCATATTCAACTGTATCTCAGTTTCAATCATTTGTAGTATTCTATGGTTCTCAGCATTCCTTTTACAATTACTAGAATATACATTTTTGCATGATGAATTTGCCAGTTTCTTTAATGTTTATCCCACAACAGCTAAAATCATGTCCCCAACTCACCAATGCAAAACTCTGATCCCAGAGAAGATTTTTCTTTTTGTATAATGCATCATGATTTCCAAACAGCAGGCAAGCCTTAAATATTACTGTCAATTTCACTGACTTCAGGCAACGCACATTGTAAAGCAGACTGAAACAAAGTTCATTTTAAATATGAGAAGACTGAGGCTTGGAGAAAATAAGAAGCATGCCAAAATTCATATGGATGTTTGCAAGGTCAGAAGACATGCTTATACCGTGGCCTGGATGGTTTATCACCATACAGTACTGATTTTTACTTTAAAGTGTGAAACCAGTTAACTTAGTAAACTTAAAAAGAAACAAAACAAGCAAACAAAAAAAATCTTTGTAGCTGGGTGGTGGAGGCATGCTTTTAATCCTAGCACCTAGGAGGCAGAGGAAGGTGGATCTCTGTGAGTTTGAGACCAACTGGTCTACAGAGAGATTTCCAGGAAAGCCAGGGCTACACAGAGAAACCCTGTCTCAAATTAAAAACAAAACAACTTTATGAAGTAGGAGATAATATTTAAGAAGAAAATGAGAAGAGTTGTCTCTCCATGCTAAGCATGACCCCAATTATTACTAAAAGTAACAGCAGAAAGATCCCTTACATTCATTACTCTCACACATCCGGATATCACTGGTCTTTCTGAGAATAAACACACAGTATGGAGAGGGAAAACATCAAAGATGGTGATAGATCAAGACATGCATAGACTAGTCCAAGATGATCCAAAGGTAGCAGGTGTCAGACTCTCACAACTGACAGGACCTTGAATTCTTGCCAGTGAAACAATCAAGGAGCATATATCACGAGGTAAAACTATACAGATGATGTATTTGCAAACAAGTTCAAGTCTTCTTATTGCCATTATGAATGGCTTTCTTTTGGACTCCTATATTAGTGTAAAACCACATACTTATTCTGGATTCTCAGTGGTTAATATAAACTCACAAGGGCTTTGATCCTTTTATTTATTTATTTTATTAGCACATATGTGAACTGAAAAAAATGAAAACCTCATTATGATATTGTTATATATATGTATATATGTTTGTATGTGTGTATGTATGTGATGTACTTAGATTATAGCACATCCTCTGTTATTTTCCTTTCTTAGTCCACCATTGCCTTTCCCCTTTCACATCACAAATAGACCTCTCTATAATTAATGATATCTCTCTTTATTGGTCTGGCTTCTTTCAAGTAACATGGTCATCTCCAGTTCTACCCTTTTTCTACAAATGAAATAATTTTATGATGGGTAAAACTCCTATCTATCTATATATCTGAATCATGTCTCTATCTATATCTATGTATGAATAGATAGAGAAAACAATACATGTATTGTTTTCTTTACCCATTGATCCACTGATGAACATCCAGAGTGATTGTATAATCCATGATAATTTCCAAATTGTTCATTTAAAAATACAGTTAACTCGATTTCTTATTGGTTTACAAAAACAAGTAGGAACACCAATATAAACAAATATGAATTACTTAGAGTCAGGATTTTGTTTAATAGTCTCTCCCTATCATAAAATTTCACTAGGTGGGAAATATCAGAA